GTGAACAGACAAATCATTAAAGGGGTCATATGATGCTGCTAAAAAGAACATTATTTTGTGTATTTGGTGTAATGAAATGTGTTTATGCGGTTTAAAGTTAAAAAAACACATTATTTTCCACATACTGTACATTATTGTTTCTCCTCTATGCCCCGCCTTCTTAAACGCGTCGATTTTTACAATGCTCATCGGTCTGAAAAAGCGAGGTGTACTGTGATTGGCCAGCTATCCAGTGCGTTATGATTGGCCGAATACCTCAAGCGTGAGACGGAAATGTTACGGTAGGTGTGGCTGACTCTTAACTTTTATAAAGAATATCTCTTTGGATTTGAGACTTTAGTCTTTGCAACTTTACAGATCTTCTTTATGCACCAAGAGCTTGTAACACTCCAAAGAGAAAGGAAAAAATGAAATTGCATCATATGACCCCTTTAAAGCTTAATATCCGTTTTTCAATTCTCGTTTTTCTTTCTAGGTCAAAATGAACCAGCCTATTGCCAACTTCACATTCCTGCCGACTCTACTCTACACCAACACGACTTTCATGAATTTCACCTCTTATGAAAATAACACCTTTTTGCACTTCGCCACATCCACCATGTCGACGCTTACGCAAGGTAAACTAACCCAAGCCACCACCACTACTACTACTACTTCTACTACTACAACAACAGCAGCGCCAAGCATCCTAGCATCCATAAACCTGCCTTACATGATAGCCGAGCTCGTCATAGCCCTCCTCTCCACTGTGGGTAACCTGCTAGTTTGTGTTGCAGTGGGACTAAACAGGAAGCTCCAAACAGTTACTAACTACTTTCTGGTGTCATTAGCAGTGGCAGATATCTGCGTGGGTTCACTGGCGATCCCTTGCGCCATCATGACAGACCTGGGCATTCCACGGCACAATCTGTATCTGTGTTTGCTAATGTTATCTGTGCTCATCATGCTAACCCAGAGCTCCATTTTCAGCCTGCTGGCGGTCGCCATTGAGCGTTACATTGCCATCTTCATGCCCTTCCAGTACCACCGGCTCATGACACCTCGCAACGCAGTGCTGGTCTTGTGTTTCACTTGGACGCTGGCCTTCCTGATTGGTCTGGTGCCGTTGATGGGTTGGCACAAGCCTCCGCCCGAGTCTGGCTACTGTTTCTTCGTCTTGGTGGTGGACATGACCTACATGGTCTACTTCAACTTCTTCGCCTGTGTTCTGACCCCGCTGGTGGTGATGTTCCTCATCTACGCGCAGATCTTCGTCACGGTCAAACGTCAGATGAGGAGGATCGCGGCAGAGCGGGGCAGCGCGGCCAACACAGAGGGAACAACAAAGATGAAGAAAGAGATGAAGATGGCCACTTCACTCTTCCTGGTCCTCTTCCTTTTCACGTCCTGCTGGATTCCGCTACATATCATCAACTGCTTCCTGCTGCTGTGTCCGTCATGTCCCGTGCCTCTACCGCTGTTACTAACGGCTATCATTCTCTCCCATGCAAACTCGGCTGTTAACCCTTTCCTCTACGCCTACAAGATGAAAACCTTCAGAAATGCGTTCAAGGCAATCTTCCTGTGCTGCAGGGGCATCGGTGATGGCGATGAACAGCATGACGATGGAGGAGGCAATAACACTCAAAGATCCTGAACAATAACACTTAGTCTAGTCCCAAAGATAAAACTGAAAAGAATCTTAATGGGATTGAAAACATAATTCTAAGATGGTTTAATGTGCAAAACCAGACCTGTATTTTGTATGTGCTTTATATTTCTGAAAAAACATTCTTTAATTTGAGATAGAAAATACTATTTTTAATTACGACTTAAGACTATGGATACAGGATTTGGGGGGAAAAAATCTAATTGTGATTTTTCTGAAAAAAAACAAATAAATAAATAAAAAAGCTTCAGGTTTGCTGTGCTTGTTGATAGGGCTGCACTATTTTGCCCAAAATTCTGTGACTATATATCAATGTTATAACAATAATAAAAATAATTATTTTTATTATGATTATTACTATTGCCAAATTCAAATAGGCTACAACGCATGTGTATCGAACAAATACATCATTGTTTTAACCACTGCAGGATTGGAACTTCATTGGAAACTTCCAGTTTTATATATTTCACAGTGAAATAAAAAAATTGAGCATTTAAGGAAAATAATATAATAATTTTTATTTTAAAGTTCAACAGCAAAAGTGTAATAGTAATATCTATGGCAGTATTAATTTAGTAATTTTCAAACATTACAAATCAAATCTTTTTTGGCTGAAAACCATAGTGAGCCTTTAAAAATTTATTTTGTTGACAATACCTTGTTTATAAGCACTACAGTTCTCATTATAAATTTTGGGAAAAGTTTGGTGCATGTTGTGTACCCAAATAAACGTTATAAGTGACCCAAACTCACAACACATCCAGAGATGAGCCACTCTGAGACACTGAAAATACTCAATCACGTGCATGCAAAAGAACACAGTGCCTCATTTCACTCTGAAACATGGAGTGCATATATTTATTTAAAGTGCCCCTATTATGCCTTTTCGAATATTACCTTTCATGCAGTGTGTCATGTAGCTGTATGTGAACATAAACTATCTGCCAAGTTGTGAAGCCGACAGTGCACGACATCTGCTATTCGATCAGTATTACTGAATCAAAGTTGCACATAATTCCTCACCTGCACCATAATGGCCATTCTCAGCGAGTCTTTAGCAATGTTTTCTTTGCATTTCTTGCAAGAGGCGCGACCACTTTTTGCGTATTCGGCTTTGTAGAGTTTGTCCTCCTGTGAATCAGCCATTCTACGTATATAATAATGAAAAGCAGAAGTTTACAATTTAATTGTGGTCAGAAAGGCCAACAACTACTATGCAATGAGTAACAGCACTCAGCCCGCGTGCAGAAGCAGCCGCGCAGAATACCAGCCCAAACTAATCGAACTACAAAATCAGTTAATGTGTGTGGGTTTTAAGTATGACATTTTATGTTTTCAATAGGCTACAATACTCCGATTATTAAACATTAATTATATAATTAAGTGTATTTTGGTAGATAAAGGTGGTAGATATTTTGGTAGATAAAACAGTACTAACTATATAGTTCAGTACAAAGGCAACATAAAATGGCTGTTACACATGTATTTTTACATTTTAAATGGCATTAAAATGTATATTAATATAAATTAAAATCAGAAACAACCCTCTGATATTCAGAAAAAGTAAAGATTATTATTATACTATATTATAAAACTATATTTTACCATTAAAAACAATTATTATAGACAGTAAAAAAAATTTACATTTTTCTTAATCTTCTTTATTAATACTATGAGATACAAAAGAATTTTAGAGATCACAGAACTCACAAAGAAGTAACAGTTTGTGCACAGTGTATCTATGGTACATATGAGGTATTTTTATGCTATCATGGCATGGATGAGGAACAATTCTTGTAAACTGTATTTTTCACATGATTATCTGAATGTTTAAATTGGCTGTAGTAAAGTAATATATATATATGCACATTTTCAAAGCATGTAGTGTATCAAGAACCTTACTAAATGTGTGGCCCAAGTGAAGTTTATGAAAAATATACATTATTTTGAAATCGGTACAAAAAAATAGTCATTATTCTACTTGTGTTCTGTAGACAAGTCCACATAAGAATTTTATAAGATATTTGAGGTATCCTTTTGAAGATGAAGGCAGTGTTTCAACTGAGTGTCCATTAAGTTATGGTAAATACTGTTTTGGTGTTTCACTGGGCCTAAAATTAACGCTCGCCAAGAGCCAAATGCGAGTAAAAATCATAGACTGTACAAAGGTAAAAATCAGCGTTGGCGAGTTATATGTAACAGTGTCAGTCGCCAGTTGGCGGGTACAACTTTTACGAATTATAACAATGCAATGAAGTGAAAACAACAGCCAGTTTTAAAGAGATTCGCTGTTTCTGACATAAGCGAATAAAAGCGAATCGAATAGGCCTAATAGGATACAAACGGACTGATAAGGTCAGAGCAGTATGATGGCCAGCTTGTCCCTAGACACGGTTCTAATTACTTTTACCTGAGAAGATATTATAAAGCCTATCTATGACAAGCAATCGATTTCTCCACTCAAATCGTCCATGTAACCGTCATTTATTAACAACTCGACAAAAGTTCTAAAACATAAATAGGCTTAGCTGGTAGCAAGTTGATACCGGAAGGGTTCAACACCCCCCAATATATCGTGTGCAATACTTTATATCTTGCTGCTTCATTTCGGAAGATTAACTTTTCCCTTCTTTATTCTTCATAACCCGAGAATGCGGCGACACATACCTGGGGTTATGCAGTGAAGTATAGTTTGAAAGGCTGCGCGTTCGGCTGTACACATATGCTGAGCCGCTTCAGACAGCTCACCAATAGCGCTTCAACGCACGAAAACACACACAATTATGTCAAACTGCGCGGTTTTGGCGAGTTACCTTGTAAACGTAGTCTTAAATTAGTTATAAAGTCTTAAATGACCGTAAAGAATTGGGAGAAAATCGGATGTGTGTCAGATCCGCGTCGTATGCATCAGGTTTTAAAGAGACAGCGCTGATTTTAAAGTGAAACCTGCTGAAGTCTGTCATTGATGTAAATCAAAGAACAAAAGAAAAAGAGAAATCCTTGGACTGTTCTTGTCGCTGATTGACTTTTATAGCTTGAATAAAGATTAATATGTATAGTTTATACATATATAATATAGTTTATGTGAAGATTGTTTTAAAATCACTTAAATTAAAAGTTGTTATATATTTCAGAACCTCTTAAATGTTAAAAATAATGGATTTCAATTATACTGTAATGTTGAATGGCTATAATTAATTGGTAGAATTGAGGGAAAATGCACCAGCAGGACAAATTAAAAATATTGTAAATATATTTAGTCATTGTAGTAGTAATAACTGCCTGTTTTTGCAAAAAGAGTTTCATGGCCAATAAAATAAAATTTTGGCCGGTAAATTTTATCATGTCACCGGCCATTGGCAGGTGTGGTAAAAAGTTAGTTTTAGGCCCTGGTGTTTCATATCATAATTTGAAGTTGTTAAAGTTGTTGTTTGGCAGAGTGAAACCTCCATTGGTACCTCTCTGTTTTTCTCTGTGAATGGCCTGTACAAGGCCAAAGACCACAGCGGCGAGAGTGGTCCTCCCACTCCGTCCGTTCTTTCCTCTGTCTGCAATCCTGTTGCTTGACAGCTGCCGCCTTTTGGTGCTGATGAAGTATGTTCGGACATGTCCCTTTCGCTCACTGACGCCCTTTATGTATATCTCACCACGCAACTCTAGCACAAAGCCCCAGTCCGCTAGAATATTACGTGTGGCCTCAGGGACCTGAATCTTTCCACTGACTCCAGTACTGTCCATTCGACTTGCCAAATTCACTGTCATGCCCCAGATATCATACTGGGGTTTGGTGGCACCGATGACTCCAGCAACAACAGGACTGTGGGCAATTCCTAAAGGGGTATATTGAAGTTACTCATATATACTCATTGTTATTGGCATGAATTACAGGTGACTGTGTAGACTTCCTAATCAGAGTAGCTGACATATTTAAGGAGATGGAAAAAAGAAAATATTTTAGAATGAAAGTGTTTAGTGACCAGGGCCTGTCAAGATCCAAAAACAGCAAGTCTGTCGAAGGCATTCAGTGCTATAAGAATAGACTGAAATTGAAGTTGGTATTTGCTAAAAATCTTGCTGAATGTGACATGAAACAAAACAAGGCTGTAAGAAACATAAGTACAGTCTGCTCAATCTGTTGTACCACCCATATTTTGTGGAAATGTATTAAGACCGACACCTAGGTGCACAACAACAGTACAAAATCTTTACTTCTATTTCTATTTACAGCCTCATTCACATCACATTAAATATGGCATATACTCTGACTGAGGTCTGTTCATTGACCCATTACCAACGCGGAGCTGAAAATTGTTTGAGGAATGTTTTTTGTTGATCTCTTTCAGGGTCTCTTGCATAGCCAGAGCGAACAGAACCAACTCACTGAGATGATGCCAGTCATTTACAACACGAGACTGTCAGGATAAAACACAGAACAATTATGGTGCATAGACAGCTGCTGGGAAATTCTAAATGTATATAATCAATGAAGTAAGCTAAGTTTTTTTTTTTACATGGTTTACCTGTTTATCAGGTGATAGACCAGACGCTGCCATGTAGCAACTCCCAATGGTTTTGATTTTCTCAATGTCCAAAAAATATGTCTCCTCCAACAGCTTTTAAAGAGAGAACCAAAAACAATGATGGCTTTATAAGAGAAAAACAACAGCAAAAAATACAACCTTTCATCAAAGTCCTACCTCATCAAAGTCTGCAATGATCTCATTGAGCAGTCTGAGACACTCAACTCCCTCGTGATTGATCTCCTTCTGCTCGTAGTATTCATTAAAGCCAGCGATGGAGGCAAACATTACCCCCACCTCATCATAGGACTGAGAATACAGCTCCTGGACAAAGACAACATGAAGTTTGGGCCTTTATTTGGTCTTTTTAGTTGTTAGTGGTGCATCATTATTACCATAGCTTAAAGGTTTAGGGATCTAAATGATACTTTAAATTTCTATGGGAGTTAATGACTACGTTTACATGGACATCGGTAATCTAATTATTTACCTTATTCTGAATAAGACAATATTACGATTAAGGTGTTTACATGAGTTGCTTTTAGAATAATCCTTCCATGTTCCCGTTTTACATGTTATAGTACATAGATCGATTAATGGCACACGTCATTACGTCACCACGCGACGCCATCCGACATCCCCTCCAGAATTTCACGTATAAACATATAGTTCATCTTCGTTATGATGCCATATACAGTTTTGGGTGTTTCATTTTTAATTTACTGAAAGCTTCAAGTGCAGTTAATTATTTGTCATGCTATACGTGCAAACAGACGACAGCGTTGTTGAAGCCATTCTTTTGTTTGCCGTCAAAAATGAAGTTTGGGCCTTTATTTGGTCTTTTTAGTTATTAGTGGTGCATCATTATTACCATAGCTTAAAGGTTTAGGGATCTAAATGATACTTTAAATTTCTATGGGAGTTAATGACTACGTTTACATGGACATCGGTAATCTAATTATATACCTTATTCTGAATAAGACAATATTACGATTAAGGTGTTTACATGAGTTGCTTTTAGAATAATCCTTCCATGTTCCCGTTTTACATGTTATAGTACATAGATCGATTAATGGCACACGTCATTATGTTTCGATTATGACTTTAGTCGGATGATTAAGATCAAAAATCTCTGTTTACATGGTAGATTCTTAATCCAGAGTATTGTCTTAATCGTATTAAAATCGGAGTATTGTTGTCCATGTAAACATACTCAGTGATACCTTAAACTGTGTTGAGGCGTGATATTTCTCATCTAAGCTATCAGACTTTCTCTCTTTATCACCTGGCGGATTATAAGACCACCCTAGCATCATGGGAGCAATTTTTACAAAGGCAAGCTCCACTCACATTTTCACTCATAATTAACATCATTACTGATAGTGGCTTACATATGATTCTGATGTACCTGATCATTTCTGTTCCTTTCTAGGAAGTGACAAGCAACGTGTGCAGGCAGGATGTTATGCAGCAGACACTCATTGTGTTCCCTCAGATCTCTCATCTCCTGCACTTCCTGCTGAGCTTGCAAACGCCACAGGAAGTCTAGCCGTGCTGTTGCTTCCCACTGAATCAGGGAATAAGCAAGACCCACAGAATAAGGATGTATATTCCATTTCTTTCTACATTTTTCCATTCCTTGCCAGTTATATGCTATAGAGAATACAAAGCTTCAGGGCAATGTGTTGTCAAAACTGAACACTCATACCTGTCGACCATTGTAGAACACAGCTATGACAAATATTGCCATCAACAGAATTGAGGCTCCCTTTCTTCTGAGGTATTGAGACCTTGTAAGTATAAAATGCAAATACATTTTAACCATATGAACGTATTTTAAAGGCATTTCTAAAGAGAGTATGTTAGAGATCTAGCATAGAAACTCACCTGCCTGACTGTTCCTGCTCTGGATGATGTACATACAGCATGTGGAAGGACACTTCAATGAAGTAAGTATAGATCACCACCACCAACAACAGAATAGCCAATTTTAAGAGAGAGCTCAGCCTCAGGAACACAGCACAGGTCACCATAGAAACCACTCCACTTAGAACGAAGAACTGTATGCATAGATATAATAGACATGAAATGCAACAACAGGTAGTTGGAGTCTTCACAACAGAACTGTTTAGACAGAAGTCACACCTCTGGATACGTGCAGGCAGTAAGTGGCTTCTGGCTGGTCTGATATTCCTCTGTTTCACTGGTGCTTATTTCTCTTGTCTCAGTAGAGTTACACCATATCTGGATAATCACAAGATGAAGAATTACAATGAATGCCAAATGGTGCTTGAATCAGCGACCTTACAGTTTCTAGTCCTGAACTTTATCCACTATGCCACACCACCCAAAATAACTACATGTATTATGTTTGGGTATGCATGCTATAGAGGCAAACTGATGACATTTAAACTGGTAGATCACAAAACATAAGTGCTCCAAAAATCTTGCAAATCTCACCATGTCAAACAGAGCCATGCCAAAGTTGATGGCTATGGCTGTGACAGTGAGAAGGTTCCGCATACTGTTGTTTTCATGGATCCAGCAGCAGAACTGCTGAAGGACACTGGGAGAATGTTTAAACTCTTCAGCCAAGACCATCATAAGCAATAAGAGATATCCCAGCAAGAACAGACAGAACTGCAGTGCTGTCCAGTAATACAACCTGTAGGTAAGACAATGAAGAAAAAAGGGAATGGAGGGGAAGTTTAAAATCCGTGTTATTCTGCTGCGTGATACTGCGGAAGAACTGATGATGGCACGGTTTGATCTTCGGCTGAGGGCAGAAAGGGGCGTTTAATTCCCGCCCACATGTAGAAATCGAATATTCAAGCTGTTTATTCATTTTTCCACCCATGAACGAAAAACGAAAATTTAAGCTGAATTTTCGTTTTTTGGAGAGAAAAAAAACGAAAAAGGAGTAGTTTTCTCATTTTTCTACTTTCAATATTAAATCAAAAAACGAATGATCGAATGATACACGGATTGTTTAACATATCTAAGCTCAATGGTTTGTAAAAGTGACAGGAATACAATCTTTTTCAGGTGCTGAACATTGATTGAGTAGACTCTTTACCTGGGTACAGGAATGAGGGCTTGGACAGCCATGAGAAGAAGAAACATGATGAAGGAGCATACTAGATTGGTCTTAAACATCTCATCCCTTACCTGAGAGAACTGAATCATGAAGCAAAATATAGAAGTCAGAAACTTCATATGTTTTGATCAATTGAATTGCTGAACAATTTACATGATCTGATAGCCTACCCGAAGCAATGTTGTAGTCGAGAACAGTGTTGGGGAAAGTTACTTTTAAAAGTAATGAATTACAATATTGAGTTACTACCTAAAAAAGTAACTAATATTTCTCATCTGGGCTGGTGGCATACTTGGTTGTATGTTTTTAATATAAAAAAGTTATATTTTTGGCAGATCTAAAAGCCCTTTCACACCAAAAGTGAAATGAATAAGCCTCAGGCTGAAGGAAATGCAAATTCAATTATTAAAATATTTAATTATTGCAGGTTTGCGTCATGTTCTGAGTTTGCATTTCCCTGTTTTTATTCATTTTGAGGTATACTAAATCTGTTTTTGTGCAAGTGAGATGTGTAAATGCATGTTGACATTTAGTCTAGAACTACAGTAAGCGTCATGTTCACACAAGGCGCACACAACGGCTCTGCACTTACTCCTGATGTCTCTCAACACAGCGACAGGAGAGCTGTTAGTCAAGACATGGTAAACAAAGTAACTGCCGTTACTTATTTGAAAAAGAAACTCAGATATTTGACTGTAGTTACTTGTAATACTGTAGTTACTTGTAATGCGTTACCCCCAACACTGGTCGAGACTAACTCATTCATGTCCAAGTCAAGACCAGAAGAGGGTCAAGTCCACATGCTCCTGCGTTCATGACAAGACTCAGTCTCAAGTCCAAAACCACATTTTTATGGTCTTTGATCTTGTCATGGACTCGGGAGCATGTGGAATTGGTCTGGACTTCTATCCTCTTTTAGCCTTAACCTTAGCCTTAGCCTTGACTCAGACCTGAATGAGTTGGTCTCGACTACAACACTGATCCGAACAGTACAAATGCCAAGTGCAACCAATTGTAAATACCCCTTTTGTTAAGTTTGACATTTAACCTTAACAGCTAATCAACTGTTTCCACATTACAAACAGGTCACATCCTGCCTCTTATACCTTCTCCTCAATGTGTGTATCCTTAAACACCAATGTGGCTGAAGTGATATGCTCCTGACGCATGCGCTCACTGCTGCGAAGATCTATAGCATGTTCTATCCGTTTGTTGATCTCCTTGGATGTAGATCTGCACACTGAGGATGTAGGAAGTTGTGTGTAAGACCCATGGGAGAAGGAGGCCAATATCTGTAAGGTTATAGTTCAGCAGAGAAGTAGACCCATTATTCAAAAATTGTAAATCATCATCAATGTTTATCTTTCTTGACATAGAGCCAGATATTAAATCAATGAAGTTGCTAAATAGAACCTCTTTGTTCCAGGGGCGGTGGTTTTGCTGAGTTTTTAAATGATCTGCTTCCATTTCATCTAGATCCTCCTCTTTGTGGCAGATAAGGAAAGTGTCAATCTTGTGTGTGAGTGGATCCCAATTCGCATATCCATGTCAAAGTTCAGTTGTTTCCTTACAGATCTAAGAATATACAGATAACGATTCTTGATGACTTACTGTACAAATAAGTTAAGAAGTATAGTAAACTAATCTTAGTTTAAGTACAAAAATATATGTGTAACCATTAATTCAGTTTTCCAGAATTAGGCAACCAAAATGAAGTTCAGTTTATCTAGCACTCCAGTTGTTCATGACATGCACTCTTCTAAAGCAATATTTGTTAATATCCTGAACTCTTTTGGTTATACAGGAAATACAGGTATGGGACTGTGTTGTACCGAATGGTGCTGATCATAGCTAGTCCCATCTCCACACAGCAGCGGGCATGTGCTCGCTGAGGCTCTGGTACCCCAGATACACAGTAGTAACAGTCCCCTAAGATTTTTATTCTCAAGCAGTCATATTCCTAAAAATACAAACATTGGAATCATCAGCTAAACAAGTCTTAGGTGAGTTTTAAAATGTATTGTGGTGTTTGTCAATGATCTTAAATGATCAAGCTCTATTGGAAGCACTAACTTAAAAAAAAAATCATATAAACTGAAAGCTTACGTCGGCTAGCCGGTCAAAACGTCCAAAGAGCTCATTGAGTAAGCGCACTAACTCCTGAGCAGACATGTTCATGGATAACAGTGTGAAACCCTTTAGATCAGCAAAGAGGATACTGGGAAGGAAAGATAATGAGTGTAGAAATGATGAGAAATAACAGTAAGAAATTAATATTATTTTTCATTACAAGCGAAACTGCTAACAATATTCAGTGTAAAGGCTTATTATTTTTAACAGTTTTTCTGATCTAAACCAATAAAACGTCCAAAGAGCTCATTGAGTAAGCGCACTAACTCCTGAGCAGACATGTTCATGGATAACAGTGTGAAGCCCTTTAGATCAGCAAAGAGGATACTGGGAAAGAAAGATAATGAGTGTAGAAATGATGAGAAATAACAGTAAGAAATTAGTATTATTTTTCATTACAAGCGAAACTGCTAACAATATTCAGTGTAAAGGCTTATTATTTTTAACAGTTTTTCTGATCTAAACCAGTCATGAATTGCATCTTGCCATGAGTACCAAACTGCATATTGCACATTTCCAGTAGCATTAAGGTTTTGCTTTTGAAAACCAAATGATCTCACCTAGAAAATACTATCACTGAAACATTCCTTATTAGAAGCTATAAGATACCTGACATCTTTGTACTGATGGATATATATTTTGTGAAATTGCTGTGGATCAAGATCATCATCCATAGAAGTCATATCGGCAATCATCTCCAAGGCAACAAAGCGGGGCAGAATCGACAGCACCAAACACCACGTCTGAAAAGAGACAAAAAGGGCACAGCACATATGTATTTTCTATGAAGCTGAAAGCACTCCGTTTCTGCTTTTGAAATGAAAAGTAAAAACTTTTAAATTCGATTTTTTTTTTTGCTTACTGTATTAGTTAAATAAGTTACAACATTTTATCCCATTGTTGACACCATCGGACTGTTAAACTGGACCTGTGATGTCACCATGTGCTTTAAAAGAGGGTGCCAGATTTAGCACTGAGCTACATAATACTGTTATCTGCTATAAACAATCCCTTTCTGTGTGGCTCCATCTCAACATACACAACCCATCCCACCCACACCTGTGATCCCAACTTAAACCAGCTCTTCCTCAGAAAGCATAGATCAGTTTACAGATTTCATAAAGCTGAATATCATAGTAAATATATTTTGCTAACTTGTTTCTAAAACTAGATAATAGATTTGGATAAACAAAAGCAAAATGCTTATATAAAATTATAAATACAGTAATTTGGTCAAATATATAATTTGACACTAATAAAGGAATTGGCTGGAAAATATTATAACTTACATATTAGGAGAAAAAAATCAGTAAAATACATAAATACAAAAGAGGTTTATACATCATCATGTTACAGAATGGAAATAAAAATTATTTGCTTACCTGTTAGATAATAAACTTCCCAACGCTTCTTTGTACATTTTGCTGCTCTTTGAGAAATCCACTTGTTCAGCTCTATCAAAGAGTCTTTCCTTCGATTCTCATCATCCTATTGTTGTTATGCATCTTCACAGAATGCAGCAAAAGAAAGTCATGGGCAAAATACCTACACAATCTATATTCCAACTTGGAGAGAAGAGAGAAGAACACGTTTTTCTGATTCATTGAGCTGAGAAGTGATCAACAGATTGCCACGCCGAAAGCGAGACGGAAGCTCAAGTTGCGCAAATAGGATTACTTACTCAGCACTCATGCCCTGGCTACTCAAAGCATCCATCACTGACGTCACATAACAAGAGCCGTCCAGGGTCAGAGGTCAGTACCTTATCAACACTTCTGGGAGATTTCAGTCAATAGCTCTCTCATGAAATATGATATGTTATTATAAGAGGTAAACAATGTAAATTAGTAATGATTTGTATGCAAAGAATACAAAATAAGTGCAGATAGGATGGAAATCCATGTAATGCACATACACACTTAGACACTGCATTTATGTTTAAAAGAATAGAGAGATTAAATATAGAGGCTGGGCAGAGGAGTAAACGATACCAAAAGAAAGTATCTGATTGGCTGAACTGAGCTAGGCAGGTCAGTAGGATCAGGTAATGTTGGCTATAAGCTGGATAAAGTACTTGAGATTTTGAGAATTTACTAATTGTGCACTATGCACAAGACCTCAGACAGTGACCTGATGAGGGGCAAGTCTTGGGATCTCACAAGATAAAATCAGAAAATGCCAAATAATACAGTCAGACAAATTTACATTTACATTTAGTCATTTAGCAGACGCTTTTATCCAAAGCGACTTACAAATGAGGACAATGGAAGCAATCAAAATCAACAAAAGAGCAATGATATGCAAGTCTCAGTTAGCTTAACGCAGTACACGTAGCAAGGTTTTTTTATTTTTTATTATATAATAAATAAAAAGAAAACATAGAATAGAAAAAGAATAGAGCAAGCTAGTGTTAGAGGCCTTTTTCACTTTTGTTAATTGTATAATAAATAAAAAGAAAACAAATAGATCGAATACAAAAAGATTAGAGCTAGTGTTAGTTTTTTTTTTTTAAGAAAACAAGCAGTTTGTAAATGAATAGAGTGCAAGTCTAAAAGTCTTTTTTTTTTTTTTAAAGAATAGAAGTGCTAAAGTTAGAGGGTCAATAAGTTGTTATACCATGATACAGTATTGTTGTAATTTGATTCCATGATACATCATACCATTTACATTATACTTCAGTATACTTTATTTTTTTAATATAATTTATTTAAATGTGTATAGACATACTTATATAAACATGTTTACTGAGATGCATTGAATAGCATGATATTATCATGGTGAATACCCAAAATAACACAATTTGATAGTACCACTGTACTCTTTTGAAGAAGTTTTTCATAGTTCTGAATCTTTCTTAAATTAGTCCACATTCTCAATTACAATTTGATATGTACATGAGTACAATGTGAGTCATACTTCCTGCACTAATTTTGCCATGATATTAGGGGTTTGTTGGTGGTTGCTGCAAAGGCATTGCTAGACTTTGGCTAGTGTGATCTGATGATTCATCCACTAAGCAAAAGTGGTCTGGTTACTTAGAAAAATAAGTGAAATATTTGGGTTAGGGTCCTCATTAAACACGTAAACCTAAGTATATGAAATGCTTGCCTAAGCAAGCACCACAAATTAAGCTTCACATAAGGAAAATGAGGAAACACTAGACAGAGTAATATGGCTGGACTTTTTGAACACATATGGTCACCATGGATGAGATAACGTAGGCTTTCTATAGTTAATGCAGTTATACAAAGCCACAGCCGTTTCTATGAAAATACTGCATCACATTAGTGAAAATGAAAAATAAAAAAAAGATGAGTGCTTTTCATGGGAGCTTCATTATTGAGAGAGGATGAGATTTTGCCATGGACTGTGGTCTATGGTGGGCTCTGGGACTTAATCAGCATTAGCAATGGTAGCTTGGCTCTAATGGGATTCCCAGAGCTCACTAATCAGTTAATACACACATGATTCAATCCAGTCCTCTTTAAACAGCAGCAGATCTATCCTGAGCCCTACGTGCAGCCAGGCACCCAGCTAAGGCTTCAAAACGGCTATTTCTGATCCTGGCCAAAGCCCATGTGTGTTAAACTTAGAAGTTACTTTTCTTGTGCACAAGGAGGTCAAACCACAAGAGTTTTGGCAAACTTGCCAAATGAATTATGCAAAATGTAGGCTAGCAATGCACCTTATCTTTGCTAATAGATTTTTAATCGATTGAAAACAGCTTCATTTATGGAAGTGGGATCCATTTTATGCAGTCGTGACTTTTTAAAAGAAGCAAGTGATAAGTGTAAACTGAGAAGATGATATGTAAACAGGACAGGGATGTGTTTCACTGATTTTTACCTTGTTTGCTAAAACATGGTAAACATTATATCATGGTAGAATAGCATGATACATCTTAAAGTATATGAACTGAGTTAATGATTCTCGGACACAGTTGACTGGTGCTATGGATGGGAATATACATAGAGTAGAAAGAAGATAATATACTCAAGTAGCAGAGAGGTTAATCTGGGTGAGGGTGACTTAAGGTGAAGGAGAGTATTAGCTCTGCTAAAAACATCTGAAAAGAATAGAGCTCCTGGCCAATGTAAACACAAAATTATTTAGAAACATGATGTATCCAAGCCAGTTTAGGTGAATTTGTATATTTATTTTGGTTAACTTCAATTTAACTGAAGCATTTACAATTATCACACAATTTAAACAGATATATAAATGATATTGATTTAATTTAGAATCAAATCTATTGATTAAGGAAAAGACTGAGGATGTATCTGCATCACTCGCACACTTTCTATAGTCAAGCCGAGATACAACATGCTGCCATCATGTGGTTGTATCAGCTGTGCTTTACAATGCATCACTGCTCACATAACTGCCTGGCATCAATTAAGAGAGTGTCTTCATCAGCATATGTCTTCATCTAGCTTCGGTGGAATATAAAGTTTAATGGAAGACTTTGCCATTGATTTCAGGAAACTAAAGAGCAGAAAGTCTGATTTCAATAAAACAACAACTAATATTTAAAGACGTTTAAAACAAAGCAGAATTTAGTATTGATGCTAGAGACATGTACATATCAATATCCAGCGGCTAGCTACTAAATTGTCCCTACCAGTAATTTTGTTCAAACAATTAAATATATGTGCATCGAGGGTTACATACGTAACTGAGACATTCCCTTTCAGTCGGTCACTACGAGTCACGTCATGACCGACGAATTAGGATTCCCTACCAAAGCGCCATGGATGCTGCCCCTTCCAGTGCCCTGTGCGAGCCACCTGCACCCCTTTTTGGTGTAGGCCGGGGCTCGCAACAAGAAGTCCATTCACCATTGTCGTAGCACTACCCACTCATTGAGATTGGATAACACTGGGAAAACGTATCCGTTCCAATTGGAACAGGAACGCTGCGGAAGCCCCATCCTTCCCGAAGGAGGTTTCGGAAAGCAAATACACATATGAACACATATTTGAGGTGAGAACACAGGAGGATACCGGCTCCACACGAAGGCTATAGAATCTAGCAAACGTGTTGGGGGTCGCCCAGCCCGCAGCTCTACAAATATCTGTCAGCGAGGCGCCATGAGCCAGCGCCCTGGTGAGAAGAACA